AGAACAAACCAATTCCAAAACTAGTAAAGGAAGGAAATAATTAAGATCAGAGCCATAATCAATGAAGCTGAGAACAATACAAAGGATCAATGAAATAGTTGGTTCTTTGAAAAGACAAACAAGATTGATAAACCCTTAGTCAAATGAACCAAAAGAGGAAGACCCAAATTAATAAAATTAGAGATAAAAGAAGAAATCACCACAGACATTACAGAAATCCTGAGGACTATTGTAAAAAGTTATAAATTAAAGTATAAGAAATGGATCCATTTAAAAAAATGGAACCATTTCTAGACACATATAACTTGCCAAAGTAAATCAAGGACATACAAAATCTAAACAGACCAATAAATAGCATTGAGATAGACTGAAAAGACTTCCAACAAAGGAAAGCTAGGGACCAGATAGATTCTCAGTTAAATTCCACTAAACCTTTAAATAAGAACCAATGCCAGTGATCCTCAAATTAGTTCATGAAATAGAAAGCAACAGAACACTTCCAAATTCATTCTATGAAGCCAGTACCACACTCCTACCAAAAACAGGTAAAGAACATCAAGGAAAGAAAACAATAGACTAATATCCCAGATAACCTTGATACAAAAATCCCTAATAATATTGCAGGTGTGTCCACTGCTGGGGCAGTGGCACACACCTGTAATCCCAACAGCTCCAGCGGCTGAGGCAGGATATTTGAAAAACTCAAGGTCAGTCTCAAAAATTTATCAAGGCCTTAGAACTTAGCAAAACCCTGCCTCAAATTAAAATATTAAAAAGGGCTGGGGATGTGACTCAATAGTTAAGGATCCCTGAGTTCAATCAACACACAAAGTTAATAGCTTTCCTACACACCAATAATGAATATACTAAGAAATAAATCAGGAAAGCAACTTTATTCACAATAGCCAGTACCAAAAAAATAGCAAATCATATTCAACAGCATATTAAGATGACTGCACATCATCAAGTTGGTTTCACCCCAGGAATGCAAGGATAGTTTTAACACATGCAAATCAATAAACATAATCCATCACTTAAACAGAATTAAGGAGAAAAATTACAGTCATTTCAACAGACACAGACAAAGCCTTTGACAAAATTCAGCATCCATTCATGATAAAAATCCTGAAGAAATTAGGGATATAAGGAACTTACATCAACATCATAAAGACTACATTCAACAAATCCAAAGCCAGGAGCATAGTGAATGGGGAAAATATGAAAGCATTTCCTTTAAAATCTGGAACAAGGGCTGGGGATATAGCTCAGTTGGTAAAGTGCTTGCTTTGCATGCACAAGGCCCTGAGTTTAAAAAAAGAAAAAAAAATCTGGAACAAGACAAGGATGGCCACTCTTACCACTCATATTCAATACAGTACTAGAAATTTTAGCCAGAGAAATTAGGCAAGAGAAGGAAATAAAGGAGATAAAAATAGGAAAGGAAAAAGTCAAATTATCATTGTTTGCAGAAGATATGATCCTACCAAACACAGAAGATCCAAAAGGCTCCACAAAAGTCTGCTAGAACTAATAAATTCAGCAACAGAGCATGCTACAAAATCAACATACAAAATTAATAGCTTCCCTATATATCAGTAATAAATATGCTGAGAAAGAAATCAGAAAAACAATTCCATTCACAATAGCCTCAAAACAAAACAAACAAACAAACAAAAAACCCAGGAATAAATCTAACCAAGGAGGCGAAAGACATCTACAGTGAAAACTATAGAACAAGGAAGAAAGAAACTGAAGACGACACAAGATGGAGAGAGCTCATAGATAAGCAGAATTAATATTGTTAAAATGGCCATACTACCAAAACCAATATACATATTCAATTTGTAATACCCATCAAAATATCAATGATATTCTTCACAGAAAAAAAGTCCTAAAATTCATTTTGAAGAATAAAAGACCCAGAAAACCCAAAGCAATTCTAAGCCCCGCCCCCCAAAAATGCAATACTGAGGCATCACAATGCCTGATTTCAAATTATATTACAGAGCTATAGTAATAAAAACTGCATGGTACTGGCATAAAAAGTCACATAGACCAATGGTTGAGAACAGAAGATATAGAGACAATGCCACACAGATAGTCATCTGATCCTTGACAAAGATACCCAAAACATACACTGGAGAAAAGACAGCCTTTTAAACAAATGGTACTAGCAACACTGATTATCCATAGGTACAAGAATGAAACTAGACCTTTATATCTCACCCTGCACAAAAGATAATTCAAAATGGATCAAAGACAGAAATTAGTCCAGAAACTATGAAGCTCCAAGAAGAAAATATAGGGTAAACATTCCCACACACAGGCACAGGTCATGACTTTCTCAATAGGATCCTTAAATCTTAGGAAAATTAAAAAATAATGCCAATAAATAGCAGGTATTAAATTTAAAAGATTCTGCACAGTAAAATAAACAAGAATGTGAAGAGAGAAAAAGGGAGAAAAATTTTGCTAACTACTCTTCTGACAGATTAACATCCAGAATATATAAAGAACTCAAAATTTTTTTAAAAAATCATAAAACAATCTAAATAAATGGGCAAATGAATTAAACAGACATTTCTCAAATTAAACACAAATGGCCAACAAATATATTTTTTTAAAAAAGTTCAACATCATTAGCAATTAGAAAAATGCAAATTAAAACTATACTGAGATTTCACCTAACTCCAGGCAGAATCGTAGCCATCAAAAATACAAACAATAAATGTTGGAGAGAATATAGGGGAAAAGGAACACTTCTATACTGCTAGTGGGATTGGAAATTAGCACAATCCCACTGTCAGTGGAATTGGAAATTAGTATGGAGGTTCCTCTAGACTAGTCATGGAACCACCATATGACCCAGCTATACTATTTCTTCCTTCTTATCCTAAAGAGTTAAGGTCATCATGCTACAGTGATCTATGCAGACCCATTATAGCAGCACAATTCACAACAGCCAAACTATGGAACAAGCCTAGTGTCCATCAATGGATGAATGGATAAAGAAAATGGGGTGGGCTGGGGATGTGGCTCAAGTGGTAGCGTGCTCACCTGGCATGCCTGCAGCCCAGGTTCGATCCTCAGCACCACATACAAACAAAGATGTTGTGTCCGCTGAAAACTAAAAAATAAATATTAAAAAATTCTCTCTCTTTCAAAAAAAAAAAAAAAAAAAAAAAAAAGAAAATGGGGTGTGTATTTAGTTTTATTCAGTCATAAAGAAAAATGAAATTATGTTACTTGCAGGAAAATGGATGGAACTTGAGAACATTAAGTGAAATAAGTCCAACTCCAGTCAAGAGTTGTATGTTTTCTCTCACATGAGGAAGTTAGAAAGGAAAAAAGGAAGAGAATGGTGTATTATGAGGGTGGATATTATGACTATCAAAGGGACATCAGTAGAGGAAAAGGAACAGGAGGAAGTAGGAGGGGAGGGAAAGGGGAAATATTGGGAATGATATTGGCAAAATTATACTGTTATATTGTGTGCATGTAACAATAAATCCCACCATTATGTATAACACACCAATTTAAAAAACATGGAAAAAATAAATTCTATACATCAATAATCAAAAATACTCATCAGAGTCAAGAAGAAAACAGGAATAATATTTGTGCTCGAGAATCAGGCAATGGGATTTCGAGATATAACACAAAAGCATGCGTGACAAAAGAAATTTAAATTCATCAAATTTTGCGCTTCAAACAATTCAATCAATAAAGGGAAAAGATGACCATAGAATGGGATAAAATATTTGCAAATTATGTGTCTGTTAATGGTCTTGTAATCAGAATATATAAGAAACTTAAATTGGAATAATTTTAAACCCTAATTTAAAAATGGGCAAACGAATATGAATAGATATGAATAGGCTTTTCTCCAAAAATGACAAAAAAAAAAAGCAGAATAAAAGTATCCTTCACATCATTAGCTATTAGTGACTTTATTTGTGAAATGTTCAGAAAAGGCAAATCCACAGAGAAAGTGGTTGACTAGGGGCCAGGGGGTTGGGGAAAGAATGAGGAGTGATAGCTAATGGTTTGGGGTGATAAAGATGTTCTGGAAACAGGTAGTGATACTGGTTTTAGTGAACATACAAACTCCTCTGAATTGAACACCTTAAGTGAGTGAATTGTGTATGGAAGATGGACTGTATCTTAATAAAGCTGTTTAAAATTACTCATCAAATCTGTTAAAAATTAGTAAAACATATATTTTCTCCAAACATTAAACTCTCACGAATGTAAACACACTGATTAGAGTGATACTATTACCTTTAAACTGTTAGATATTAACATCAAAAACTTTACGGCTATTCCTTTTAACTAGTGTGAATCATTTACTATAACATTTGGATGATGAAGATAATAAGATGGTGTTATCTATCACCTACTCTTTCAATTCTTGGTAGAATAATCGGATTATCAAACTCAAGTGATTCTACTGTTGTCTGTATTAGACAACTACCATGGAATATAAGAGAAAATACATACAAAGAGAGATACTTACTGTAAGTTGTTTTATAATTATGCTTTCTAGTGCTAAAATTTGTTATGTGGATCAGTCATGTGCCACCTAACATCATTTTGATGAATGAAGATTATGTCACCTAGGGCTGCTGTAGTTTCCTTAGCTTGCATACATACACTCTGTGATGTTCACACAATGACAATCACCAACCAATGATTTTATCAGAACACATTTTCCATTAAATATGCACAACTGAACATGGTTGTAAAAATTTTCAATTATATAGATGCCAAGTACAAAGTAATTTTTAAGATATTTATGGGAATGCTATGGATAGTAACCCAGGAAGAAATGGCCAACTTCCCAAGCTACCACACTGGGAGGATCAAGCCTCAACATGAGTTTTGGTGGATAAACCACAGCAAATATTGTAAGACCTGACTTAACAGGTGCTTCATAACAGTAAGTGAATCTAAAACAGACTTGGAAAAAAGGCTTTTTATAAATGATCAATAGGAAAGTCTGCGTGCTGTGTAGGAATGAACACTCAGAAGGATGTTCAACCCCCAAAGCAGCAGCCAATGATATATATCTGTGGAGAATGTCACACAGAAAATGAAATAAAATCCAGGGATCCAATCAGATGCAGAGAATGTGGATACAAAATAATGTACAAGAAAAGAACCAAAAGATTGGTGGCTTTTGATGCTCAATGAAACATGGGAATTCAGAGAAGTGTCTTCCTTTGTACCTGGATTTGACCATTGAATGTTTCTCATTATTATACAGTTTTTCATTTAGCACACTTATCTTATGAATACAACTGTATGATTTCATTTTACTTCATTTTCCAAATCAAATTGTGTTTAGGTATCAATAATTTGTGTAAAGACTCGTTTAATTAAATGACTTAATTTAATTTTATTGTATTATGTAATCAGACACAAAATGAAAATTAAAATTGCTTCCCCAAATCATACTTTTAATCAAACGCTTGTTAGAAATGCAGGTTTCTAGAGTCCTGTAAAATTCTGATGAAATAAGTTCCTTGGAAACCTCAATTATATGTTGTGAACTGTTGGTAAACTCTCTAGCATTATTTGGTACAGATTAAACTAGTCTACTTGCTCTCAGTATAAAGATATAAAAATAAAAAATTCAAAACTAGTAGGTAAAATCAGAAATGAATAGATACATAAAGGAATAGCTGAGAATGTGCAAAAACAAGTTGCTTCTTCACATATACAGGGTCATATGCATGCCTACCCTTCTGAAATAAGTTCTGTATAGAAAATTAGTCAAGGTGGAATAGTTACTTGAGTCGAAGACTGAGAGATTAGAAGGAGCAACACTGGAATAGGGGAAAGAGCCAGTGTAAAAGCTATGGGGCAAACTGTGAACTTGTTTTGTTCCCACTTCAAAATGAAGCACATGTGACTTATACTTCATGAACAGTGAGACAGTGGAAAAAGATGAGGTTGCGTTTTGCCAATGGATGCCAAGAAAGCATTGTTAGTCTTCCTACTACCATCATCTCTAAATCAGAGTCCCCAGAGCACCTGAACATCTGCAGAAGCTGTTCATCAAAGGGCTGAGCTTTGAAACAATTGATGAGAGTCTGAGATGCTATTTTGAGTAATCGGAAACACTACGACTGTGTGGTAATGAGAGACCCAAACATCAAGTGCTCCAGGAGCTTTGGGTTTGTCACTTAAGCCACTTTGGAGGAAGTGGACACAGCCATGAGTGCAGCACCACACAAGATACATGAAACAGATGTGGAACCAAAAAGCTGTCCCAAGAGAAGATTTTCAAAGACCATGGGCATACTTAACTGTGAAAAAGACCTTTGTTGGAGGCATTAAAGAAGTCACTGAAGAACATCACATGAGATTATTATGAACAGTTTGAGAAAACTGAAGTTACTGAAACAACGACTGACTGAGGCAGTGAAAAAACGAGGGCCTTTGCTTTTGTAACTTTTGATGACCATTACTGTGGATAAGATTGTCACTCAGAAATACCATAGTGTGAATGGCCACAACTGAAGTGATGAAAGCCCTGTCAAAGCAAGAGATGGCTAGTGCTTAATTTAGCCATTTTGATGGTTTTATTCAACTGTTGAATAATGAGACAAAATATTAATTTTGATGGTTGTAGAGGTGTAGAAATGGCAGTTTGGGTCTTAGAGAAAACTTGAGTGGTTGTGTTGGTTTTGGTGGCAGTGGGGATGGCTACAATGGATTTGATAATGATGGAACCAATTTTGGAGGTGGTGGAAGGGCTACAATGGATTTGATAATGATGGAACCAATTTTGGAGGTGGTGGAAGCTCATTTAATTATTTTGACAATTACAACAATGAGTCATCAAATTTTGGACCCACCAAGGGTGGAAACTTTGGAGGCAGAATCTCTGGACTCCTTGGTGTTAGAGGCCAATAGTTTGCTGAATCACAAACCCAAGGTGGCTATGGTGGTTCCAGCAATAGCAGGAGCTATGACAGCGGTAGAAGGTTTTACTACTGCCAGGAAACAGCTTAGCAGGACAGGAGAGCCAGAGAAGTGACAGGGAAGCTACAGCTACAGATTTGTGAACTTATCTAAGCACAGTGGTAGCAGGGCCTAGCTGCAACAAAAAAGAAATGATTTAGACAGTACTCGTGTGTATGGACAAAAAGTATAACAGGTCATCTTAGTTTCTGTTCTGTGGAAAGTATAAAGTATTCCAACAAAGATTTTAATGTAGACTTTTTTTCCCCACCCATTGCTAAGTGTTAGTCTGATCATGATGCTGAATAAATGTCTTAAAAAAAAGACAAATAAACATAACACCATTGTAGGTATTTTTATCCTAAACTATTAAATTTTACTTATAAAATATATGGCAATCTAGTAGGCATGGCTATGACGATAAATAATTGCTACTGTACTGTTTCAAAGTTACCTTTAAGAACAAAATTAGTATAAGAGGAATTATAATTAAATACTATGTAAGATAATTTTTACATAAACATGATAACATATAACTTTAACCGTGGCCATTTTGCGCATCTGACTAAAGCATGAAATGTCCATATTAAGGTATATTTAATATTTTTCTGGTACATCTATATAAAATCTTACCCTCCTTTACATTAAGTTATAAATTTGGTTAATATACTGTGCAGTTTTTTTTTTTTTTTGGTGGGGTTGGGATTTGAACCCAGGGCTTTGTGCATGAAAGGCAAAGCACTCTACCATCTGAGCTATATCCCCAGCCCAAGTAAGTAAATTTCACTCAAGAGGCACAGAATGAGGGCTACGGTTGTAGCTCAGTGGTAGCGTGATCGTCTCGGATGTGGAAGGCACTGGGTTTGATCCTCAGCACCACATAAAAATAAAATAAAGGTATTGTGTCCATCTATAACTAAAAACATACTTTTAAAAAAAGAGACACAGAATGAAAAAGTCAACACAAAATCATTTCAGGCTTATATAAACTAAGATTTATAAGAGCCTTAAAAATTAAAAAATTCTGAAGGAAAATACATTCTAGATTCTATTTGCATGCAAAGTTCATGAAATGCAGGGAATTTGTGTTTACTGCTCTACCCCTAGGGTCTAACACAATGTTTAACAAGAGTAGGCACTCACAACTGTTGAATAATGAGACAAAATATTAACATCTTTATTAATTTAGCAAAGGAGAAAAATCTTCAAGTCATAATACACAGAAAACAAGAAGTTGTAAAATGTTTATTGTAAAAACAGTCAAGAGAGGTTTACAATGCAAATATTATCTCAGAACACTTCCCCTTGGTTCCTGAATTAGCTAGGCTCCTATGTACCAGCAAGTCTCCATTAACATTTCTCAGGTTTTTAAGGTCCTTTTCAGATGTGTTGATTGATTATATGCATATATTGCATAGAAACAAAAATCCATCGGATACTAAAAACTAACCAAAAAGTAAAAAAAATAAAAAACTCAAAAACAAAACCAAAAAATCCTTGTTCTGTTGTGCTTTTCTTTCACATTTCCTACAGGGAAACCTGTTTGTCTCAGATGCTTTCAAAATTTAACAGTAAAGTAAAATTAGTGCCTTAACAAACAGTAAGATACCAAAGAAACCTCCATTCAAGTTACTGAACCAAACCTCTGACAACATTTGAAGGATATCCAGATTTAAAAGATTTTTTTTAATTTAAAACTTAAACTCTAGACTGCCAATTTCCCATATTTAAAAGACTATAGTTATTTGCAGCATAAAAATGGAAAGTAGTGCAAAATGCATCAAGTTTTATATGATAAATATATTTTCAACTTCATGGCTGCCTCAAAAGCAAAGAGTGAAAAACTACCACTTCCCAAAAGCAATCGAGACTTAAAGTTCACAATTTAGAAATATCAATTGCTACTCTATTTCCATAAACTGCAAAATGATTTCAGAAACACACAATTGTTTTACAAAAATATAAGTTGTGTTGGGCTTTACAAAAATTTATAAAATATAACACTTTGTAAATTCAAATTCATACTGAAATAGACAATACTTCTATAAATATAAAGTCTAGTCAAACTTAAGAGTGGTCTATCTTGATCATTCTTATGTATTAAATCACTGTTATCATCTTCCAAATCTTCAAGCCTAAGTGGATCTGTGCTTTCATGGAATTTTTTTGTTTTAAGAGACTGTTTATTTTCAAGGGTTTTTTGTTCTAGAAATAATGTCAAAGCAGATGAATCTTAAACTATATCTTACTAAAAGAAGAAGCAAATGTGATATAACATTTCTACATTATTTAAACCAAATCCCTAAGAATGGCAACCTAGTATTAATTTAAAATATATATCTGACAATCGTAATTTGGTGCCTATAAAACATAAAAATATAACCACAACTATTTTATGGAAAAAATATTTATTCATATAGAATGGAGATAACTCCAAATTTAGTTATTTGTAGTTGTCAAATAGGAAGTACTGCTAATAACAAGCATTCATAAACATTCATTTTATCACCCCAAAGAGCACCAGTGTATTTTTTAAACAAACCAAAAAGAAAGTAGGGACTAATGTATTATGTAACAGTGCTACTACCATAAGGCACCACTTGGTATACAAAAAAAGCGAAGTATTTCCAAACCATGTGTTTTTGTCACTGGTGTCTTAACCATTAGATAGGATGGTTTTAAAAAAGACTAACAACTTTATTAATCAGCTATACTCCTGTTCCAAACATTCTGTGCTTTTAGTTTTTCCATACAACAAAAGTAAAAACAACAATATAATACATGATCTGTTAAATAAACATCTTTTCCCAACTTTCCAAGAAAATAATCTAGAAATGAACAAGAATAAGAAACCCAAACTTTATCTGATATATTCACAACAGTCCATCCCTGTAGAAGAGTGTGGGGAAGAGAGAAGGCAGGGGGTACCTATTTTCTATAAACTATATTGAGGCACATAGGTTAAAAGTTTCTCAGGCAAATTCATGGCTAGAGTAAATGGAGAGCTCAGAATTTTGCATTTCCCCCAAAGATGATTTTCTCAGATCCAATTAAATATTTCAAAATGTGTGTTTAGTCACTGCTATCATCATCATCATCATCATCCGATACATCATTTAATGGAGACTTCAATGACTGACTGTAAGAGTCTGATCTAGTAGGTTGGCACGTGGCCATGTCCCCAGTGGAAAGCAGGTCATAGCAGAAGTCACAAATCCGCACAGGCTTAGAGGACTGGCTGGGAAGAAGAAATCTCTTTTCAGAGCAGGGCCCACAAACAACAAAACCACATTTGCGGCAATGGTGACGACGATTAACAGGTGTAAATTTTGCTTTCTGACAACGCATACATACAGTTGCCTCAGAGTCAGGAACCCAGACAGCAGCATGTTCATTACTGGGTGTCTTCCCACTTTTGGAGAGTAAATCAGTAACACATTTATTGATATGATTCATCCATTCTGATTTCTCAGTGGCAGTGGCAGCATAAACTGCAAATGATTTAGTTGGTGTCTTAATAAGCCATCCATTCCTTAAATCTCCCTCATCTTTGATGGAATCAATAGTGACATTTTCTAGGGGAATAATATGTTGTTTGTTATATTTTTTCTTCTGAATGACTATATTGCCATATACAAGAATATCATTAAACAAGAAAAACTGCCTTGCTTTAGGCTTCTTTCTGCACAACTTAGTCAATACTCCTTCTCCAATAAGAACTCGTCCCGGTATAGTTAAGGGTTGACCAGCTGCTCCAAAACAGTTTTCCACTATACTTATACGTCTAGTATTTGCTTCACTGTTTGCCAAGCGATCCACCATCTTTTGCTAATAGCCTTTGGGGAAAAAAAAAAGAAGAAGAAAAATAAATCAGCACACACATTATAAATTCCCGAAAATAAGTAAGTTATGTAATCTAAATTTAATCTAACAAATCATTGTTTTTCACAAAGGCAAAATAGTCTAATATTCCTTCCTTCTAGGTAATCATTAAGCATACTAAAAGGGCTAACATCTCTCAATTTTTTAAAATTTTATTTATTTTTTTTACATCTCTCAGTTTTTATAATTATCAAAAACACTAAACATGTCCATATAGAATTGTATTAGTTAAATATTTATAAAAGTATAAACTTCTTTATATCTATAAAAGTATAAACAGAGAGTGGAGAACTGGACAATTAACAATATAAATTATCTTTGCAAAATAATAAGCACAGTTTCATAAAAGTTATTCTCAATGGGATTCTGAACAACAGAGGGCCAAATAATACATAAACAAAGAAAAATTACTACCATTTTCCCAGTGAGCTATTACTATGAGCTCAGGCCTTAATTCTCTCACATGGATTACCAGACTGTTTCCCACCATGTCTCCTTGTTTTCCGACTTACCCTCTAAACCATCTTTAGGCAGTGATCTCTAAAATGCTAATCTGACCATGCAGTTGCTCAAAATGATTCCCTTTAGCCTTTAAAATATAAGATCCTTAACGTGGTATTCAAGGCCCTTCATTATCGAACCTTGCTTATCTTCCCCACATCACTCCTCACCTCACAAAATTTGTGAAGAAAACTCTATTTTATTCCATTTCACTGTTGTTTCCCTTTACTAGTTACTACTCCAGATAACTTTTACTCATCCTTCAAGTCTGTTTAGTTTATCATCCCTCCTCCAAAAAGGATGATAAACTTCTTTAAATTCTCAAATTCCCTAAACTCCCAGACTAGACCAGAAAACCTTCCTCCTCTGTGCTCACCATATTCTATGTATATTCTAGCTTCACTTTTTCCAAAACTGAAATCTGTCTCCTCCATAGAGTGCAAAGGAACCTAAAAAGGCAGAGACCATCTGATATCCATATTTGAAACTGATATGGTCTGACATAACAAAAGTACTAAACAATGTTAACAAGAACACTATTAAGCAATGTGCAAAAGAACCATATTATTAAATGATCACAGGTTCGATATCCAGATCCAATACTAATTTCACTCAAGTCTTGGAGAAGCGTCCTTTTTCAAACCTACTAACCTAATACAAAGATGTTGTGTCCGCCGAAAACTAAAAAATAAATATTAAAAAAAATTCTCTCTCTCTCTCAAAAAAAAAAGTATAGAGACACCCAACTTCATTTATAATTAAAGAAATAACATTAAACACTAAGATATTTTTCACTTATAAGATTAAATTTTTTTAATTCCCTAAGATGTAATATTTAATAAACTTAAGATTATTTAATAAACTACAGAAAATATGTGTACCAACCAATCTAGGTATCTCATCAAAAGAAATTCTGACTGCATGAAGATACATGCAAGGCCTTTAACAGGAAAAAAAAAATGGGAAAGGTACAAATGTTCATCAAGAGGAAGTAGTTTAACAATTTATAATATATCCTTAATTTCACACACACACATACACACACACACACACACACACACTCGATGTGGAGGATACAAAAGATAGATAGAAATATAGCCAGATGGGAAATTCTCAAGGTATGCAGGTGGGGAAAAGAGTTGAACACCATAATTTCATTTTTTCCCAACATATGTGTGTATTTGATGATATATCATCAAATCTAAGATGCTACAGATTTTAAGACATCTTCATTTTATGTGCCACTGATTTTAAAAATACTGTCAAATAAACCACAGCACACACCTGATTATAAGACATCCCAATTTCAGAGACATAAAATACAATTTATAAGGTATCTTGACTATAAAAGCACAACCAGAGATACTCATAAATATGTAAGCACACAAAGAAAATAAAATTATAAAACTATATAGCACACCATCAACAATAGTCATTTATTTCTAGGTAATGTCTATAAACAATTCTTTCACATTTCATATTCAAACATTCAACAAATGATTTTTAGGCATTTGATCTATGTGCAGTAAACAATACAGGCAAGGACCCTGCTCTTCAAGGTTTACATTCTAATTGGAGAGGGGAAAAAACCCCAAAATCTAGAATCAAGTAATAATTACTGCCATGATTTTTTAAAAATTAATTTTAAAAGATCAACTGGAAGCCACTCAGACTAGATGGTCAGGAAAGATCTTTCTAAAGTGGCATCCTAGTAAAATAGGCAAACATAAAGTATGGGCACAGGGTGGAAAATTCTGGGCAAAAAGAATAATGTAAAAGCCCTAAGGCAGGAAAGAGGATGGCACTTTTAAAGAACTAAAGTATCCACTTATCCTTATCTGAATTCTATCCATTTGGACATACAGTTATTAATGAGTTCCCATATAATGCCAACAGGTTTCCTATTACTGCTACTACTGGAATTAAAGTACTATAAATTTATATCATGCTTTTCAAACATACTATAATCTGATTTTGTCTCAAACTCTTATAAAATGACTAAAGAAGTTTTTGATTCTCCAAAGAAGTATCTAATAACATTGGCTAAAATGTGAGCTGAAGGAGAAACTAAGACACAGAGATTTAATAATGTAAGAAGCAAAACTTAGCATAGAATTAACTACTTACTGAGAGTTCAAGCCATGTGCTGAGCAATTTGCATTCATTACCATATTTCTTACTCTTAACAACCTTATAACATACACACTATTAGCTCCATTTTCTGGATGAGTAAACAGCCATAAAGGAGTTCAGTAATTTGGCCAAGCCTGTCACAACAAAACAGGGCTCAAATCTCATTTTTATGTGCTGTTACCACAGTATATTATGGTACACTTATTGTTCCTCAAAACTCCACCAATTCTACAAGAAGTCTGAAAAGTTATTAATCTTTGCACACTACAAACCCTAAAAACACAAAGGCTTTGGCTTTATATAGCCCCTTCCATTATCCTTGGTCTTGAAATATTTTCTCTATGTGTCTGATATGAAAACCAATGAACTACAGAAAACTCTAGATTACAAAAACTCTGCCATCTACACAAATATGGGAGGAAGGGAGGGAAGAAAGGGAAGGTAGAGGAAGCTGAGAGAGGAATAGGGAGTGCAGGAAATTATTAAAGGGGAAATCAAAATATCATTCTTATGTTGGTTGCTGCTAGATACCCCCAAAGCAACATTCTCTGGTGAACCACATCAAGGCACTACCCTTTGGCTCAAAGTCTAAACAGGACCTCTCTCTTCCTCCAAAGCTCAAATCCAAATTTACCACCATCACACTGAGGTGTTCCAAGCAGTAAGAATTTTCAAAGATTTCTATAAAAGAACCAGAAGATAAAGATTACTGATATGAAGACTTGAATTTGGTGTCAACATACTTTATATACAGAGATACAAAAATAGTGGTATATATGTGTAATAAGAATTGTAATGCAAAAAAAGCAATAAAGTACATGTATATAGGCATAAATTGGCTTGAACATACTTTATATCAGAGATATGAAAAATTGTGCCCTATATGTGTAATAAGAATTGTAATGCTTTCTACTGCTGTTGTGTAGCCAATAAATAAATGGATGGATGGATGGATGGATGGATGGATTACTAGACCTGGCAAAGAACTGAGTCCTTCAGGGATTTTGTTTGGTTTGTTTGCTTGTTTGTGATGCTGGGGATAGAACCCAGGGCATTATACATGCTAGGCAAGCCCTCTATACTTGAGCTACACTTCACTCATCCTTTGCATATTTTACTCATAAAGGGGCACAGAAAGAGAAAGCAGAAAAGAACAGTAAAATGTAGCCCAATTTGATTATTGTCTACTTTCACTGAGACTGAATACCAGATAATATAGGGAGAGCCAAGAAAACGCCCCAATGATGACTTTAGGTCAAATTCCAAGAAGTAAAATTACTAGGTCAAAAGGCACAAATGTGTAAAAGTCTTGCTACCTTTTACAAAATTTCCATTCAGCAGCATGATGACTATAATCTGTACAATTGTTAATGTTCCTAGTCAGAGCAATGTCTCTTTCCAAGATTTCTTTTATGGCTCAGTAATTTTAATTTTCTCCTCACAAGTGGTTACACTGCTTTTTAAAATTCTTTCTGTCTTCCTTGTCTGTCTCTCTCCTTACATGGTTACATTTTCTTTTAAGTAGTTTGTCAGATATTTTATAATTTTTGTTGTCACTTTGAATCTAATCTCATTTTCACATTGTTTTCTAATTAGTTAATACTGTTGACAGGTAAACTATATTTCTGTTTCTTTTCATGTTCAGCTACTCTAAAGTTTTCCAAATTATATTCTTGACTTATATTTTTTACTTTGATATCTTCTTTTCCAACAAATAATTCAGTTAAAATGTAAGAGCTATAGCAAAAGCATACTTTTATAAAGCCACCTTTTTATACAACAACTTAAAATAAGCACTCAAAGGTCTCAAGCTATTGCCTTAACAAATGCACACAAGAACTGCATTTAAATTGTCCATCCTACCTATTCTTTTGGTAACTTCTTGCTTTTAAAGTAATACATTCTTTGCTAGGGTGCCTACCACCTGTTAAAAATGTAATACTAGAAGAGACAAAAGCTCTTTTTAAAAAATAGACAAAGAATCCAATTTACAATTGAGAAGAAATCCAACTGTCACAGTCTATGCCCTAGTTCTTCCTACTGAAATAAATCAATGCTTCTTATCTCATCCTTACAGGTGAGTTTAAAACAAAAACTCAGATCTAATTTAACTCTTATACATATCCCTGATATCTGATATTAGTGAGCTTCAGTTTTCAACTGTACATTTTAGTGAAAAAAGCCATGAACCATGAACTAAAAGACCTGCATTCTAATCTTAGTTCAGATACCAGATAAGTGATTTCAAATTACCTAACTGTTCTTTTTTAAAAAGCAGAAGCAATAGCAAGCAGCCTTAAATAATCTGTAAAGTCCCTTC